AAAAAAAAAAAAAGACATTTCTTTCTTTTGGTTCTGGGAAGAGGCTAGGAAGCCCAAGGTCAGCGGCTGTGTCTGCTGAGGGCCTTCTGGCCGGGCGGCATAGGGTGTCAGGTGGCGGAGGGCTGGCGAGAGTGACTTGCAGTGCCCACCTGCTGGCCAGCCCATTGAGGCACTTGTGCCCTGTGGGCAGGCTCGCTGTGTCAGACACCACTCTCACCACAGTGCAGCGCAGCTTGTCACCGTCCTCTGCCCAGGTGTCAGGTGGGGGGAGGGAAAGCTGGGACCTGAGCAGGTCAGGGCCTCTGGCTGCGGGCACCATCTCTCTGTCCAAGCAAGAGCCAGGGATGACAAGAAACCCCAAGGTCGGGATGGAGGGCATGTTCACAGGTGATGGAGTTAGGAAAATAACCCTGAGAACATCGGGCCGCACTCTGATTGAGCTGCCGGAGACTGCAGAGACCCCGCAGTGGCCGGTTGTCAGCCAGGTGCTCAGGCTGCCCGTGTCCCCGTGCCCGCAGATGGTCAGGCTCCAGGAGGTGTTCAAGGCCTTCTACCTGGGCAAGCACAGCGGACGGAAGCTGCAGTGGCAGACCACGCTGGGGCACGCTGTCTTAAAAGCAGAGTTTAAGGAGGTAAGTTCTTCTCTACCTCACGGCGTTTCACTTTGCCTTGTGCATGCAGTGTTGGCGATGGAACCCAGGGCCTGGCACATGCTAGGCAAGCGCAACCACGGAGCCACAGTCTCAAGCCTTTTATTCCAGTTTATTTAGAGASAGGTTCTTGCTAAGGTGCCAAGGCTGGCCTGGAACTTGTGATCCTCCTGCCTTGGCCTCCCTAGTCCCTGGGGTAATAGGCGTGCACCACCATGCCTGGGTGGTCATGGAAYTTTTTAAATTGTCATTGAACCTTGATAGCAAAGAAGGAAACGTTGTTTGGCACAGTTGAGCCCTGGGTTTTCTAGGTCAGTGAGCTGAACACTAGTTGAGGGTTGGTATGATGTTCCAGTCCATCAGGGGCAGTGTTGGTGTAACTGGATCAAGCAGAGACTGGGAGATGCGTTCTGCTTCTCAGCTGGCCAAAGGKTTGCAATTCAGACACAGGAAGGAGGGCTAGGCGCAGTGCAGAGGCAGAGCATCGCCTAGCACATGTGAGGCACTGGGTTCCATCCTTTGCACCACATAAAACAGATAAGAATTTTAAGAAATTAAAAATACAGTAAGATGTCACTTCTGACCAAGGGACTGACTGAAACAAGGGGAGGGGCATCCTGGGGCATCATCTAGCAGCTCAGCACTCGGCCAGCCTCTAGGTGGCCTGCGCCCGCTGCCGCCCTCCAGCTCCAGGGTGCTTCCTGCTCTTTCATTTTCTTCTTTTGTTTTAAAGTGCCAAGCCAGTAAATAAGTTCTGACATATCCCACGGGCCCCAAAGGGGCTCTTTGACAACTGAATGGCGGTCTTTCCTGGATCACTCCAGTTAGAGTCAGAGTGCCCACTCACGCTGGCTGTGGTAAGAGTGGTCAGCRGAAGGGAAGGCACACAGAAGGCGTGCTGGTGAGGCGGAGGCCCTGTGTGTGCAGTTCTGTAAATGATGTCCCTCAGTTCTGTAAATGAYGCTCGGTCGCCTACACTATGCAAGATAGTCCCAGTCTCCTGTTCYGCACAGCTGATACAACATGCTTGTCTGTGTGGGATGGCGGAGGTGTCAGTCCTTCTGCACACGTCCTTGCACATGCTCCTGAGGGTGACGTGTTCATCTGCCACCCCAGCCTCTGCCTTGCTAGTGTGCTGCAGTTAGGGCACGGCCTCTGCCAGCTGCACAACTGTAGGCCACCACGCCACTGCACACAGAGCCAAGCTGGTCTACCCAGGGGGCCTGGCAGCCCCTCCTGTCCCCGTCCCCTCAGTACAGAAGTGCAGCCTCTCTCGGCGGGGACAGGCTCAGCTATTGGCACTCTGGGCTGTTGGGGACAACCCAGTGGGATGGCCCTGGCTGACCCAGGCAGAGCCATCCCTGTGCTCACCCTCCCTGGCCACCTCCCTGGTGAGCCTCCTCCCTCYTCTGGCCTCAGGTATTCAGCTGCCACCAAGAGGCCCCATAGCTAGAGGAGGGTGGGTGGCAGAGTAGCTGCTAGACATCAGTCAGCAGTGTGTCTACCATAGATGGGACGATGCCCATCCGCTCAGTGGGACTTAGGGGAGAGTGGGACGCGTCCTTCCGCTCAGTGGGACTTAGGGGAGAGTGGGACGCGTCCTTCCGCTCAGTGGGATTTAGGGGAGAGAGGATGATGTCCTTCCGCTCAGTGGGACTTAGGGGAGAGTGGGACACGTCCTTCCGCTCGGTGGGACTTAGGGGAGAGTGGGA